AGCCCTGCCTCGCGTCGTGGGTGAAGAGCATCGGGTAGCAGTCATGGCCCTGTGGAAACAGCGACAGCGAGCGCTGAGCAAAGCTGCCAGGCACCAGAGCAGCCTCTCAGCGTCCCGGCGCGAGCCGCAGACTTACCGCTGCCACCAGGCTGTTCTCTGTAATGAAGGTGACCGCGAGGAGCGGCAGAGTCTCCACAGACAGCGAGGCCACCCTAGGCAGGGAGAAACCAAGAGCAGTTAGCGCCTCGGGCAGCTTTCTGGCTGCACATCGCGCCCTTCTGGGAACTCAGCCTTTCAGCACAGGCGCCCAGATTTCCTGAGCCTGAGGCTACATCTACCCTGCGGGTTTTTTGCAGAAGAGGAAATGCAAATGGAGTACTCGTTTGCATCTCTTGCACTCTCATTTGCATATCGTCTGCCGATCCTGTTTGCGGAATGCCCCGTGTAGACGGGGCCGTTTGTCAGAAAAAAACTCCTTTTGCATAAGATCCCTTATTCCTCAAAAAATGAGGTTGACAGGCTCTTGCGCAAAAGGGATTTTTGTGACAAATGGCCCCGTCCACACTTTCTTTTTGCTTTTTAGCGGCGTGTGGAAGAAGATATGCAAATGAGTGTGCGAGATATGCAAATGAGCACTCCGTTTGCATTTCCTCTTCTGCAAAAAACCCGCAGTGTAGACGTAGCCTGAGCCATGAGCCTGCATGCATCCAAGTGTAGCCAGCCCTTGCTGGCACCATGAGGAGAGCCGGGTAAGAGGCCAAGGGAGATTGGGATACTTGGTTCCCTCCTCACCCTGGCATGGCAGGATCAGGCTGGGTGGGGCTGAGGGTGGGAGAGAAGGGCAGCAGATGGAGTTGGATTCAGCGTGGTGGATTCAGCCTTCACATGCTGCCCTGGGCTATTCTCCTGTGTCCCAGTCAGCAGCAGGGCGCTCAGCCCCTTCCCAGAGCCCTCCCGACAGATCAATAGTCGCTCCCCCTCAGGGCTGAATTACCCAACCCCCAGCTGCTCCAGCTTCCAGGCCACCGGCAGCCTGCTCAGCCGGCCCTGAACCGCGGGTTCAAGCCCTTAGCCAGCCAGGTTCTCACTGCCCTGCACAGGCAGGACCATCCCCCTGGTGGGTTCTCACAAGATCTTGGGTTTGCCCGACCCTGCGTCCAGCCCCCACTGGAGATGCGAGTTTCCGGGCTGTGGCCGTTCCACTTACGCCATTTTCTTGTTGGCATCCGAGAGGCAGACGGTGCTGTCGTGGCCGACCCAGGCCACGCGGGTGCCACTCTCCCAGAAGCAGATGCCGTGGGAC